CAGCGCAGCCCAGCGCCCTTCCCCGCAGCCCCGCGCTCCCTGCTCAGCCCCAGTATCAAGTTACAGAAAAACTACACCCTCGCAGCACCCTTATTTACATACAAATAACTGGAGTGCCTGCATTTATGTCACCATTCAAGAGGTTTGCCAAGGGAGGCTGTAATCCAATCAGCAGCAGCTTTAAAGGGATGTCTGCAGACTGATTACATGGGGATTTTTTTATTTTTTCTTTAACTATAGTCATTATTTTTCATTTTGTTTTATATTTGTAAAGAACTTTGATCTGAGTTGGGAGGACAAAGGTGCACATGTCCTAACATACATACGAAGAGATCAAGATGTTAAGAAGATCTTGGTTGTTGAGTGGAAAGCGAATATGACCCACAGGGATTAGTTTGCTTGTGCTGGTTTGGAGTTTAACTCTAAATCACTGCTTAAGGACTAATAGGACTAATAGGAATTCTTGGAAACACCAGGGAAAAATTTCTTATAGACCAAGCTGGTGAAAATGGCTTTCCAAAACAGTAAGACTTTTAAAAGTTTAATGTGTAATGTTTCTATTTCTGTTTTTGTTTTGGTTTGGGTTTTGTTTTAGGTTGGGTTTTTGGTTTGGTTGTTTGTTGGTGGGTTTGTTTTGGTTTTTTTTTTGTTTGGTTGGTTTTTTGGTGGTTTTTCTTGGGGGTGTTAAAATGCTTTTTCGTATACTATGAACATTTTGGCTTTTAAACCGTACCTTAAAATACTGGTTGTTGCCGGGCTGGAGGAGAAAGTCGGTCTGTGTATGTGCCGTTTTCAGAGCGGTCGCTGAAAGGGTATTTTTAGATGTGATTGTTAGTTTAAAACCGGAGCTCGCCTGTGGTTTCCTGAGTTAAGTGAATGGAAAGTAGCCTAAACTCCTTGAATGAAAGTGGGAAACGTGTCGCGGAGTCACTCATCTCCGAGCACACGCTGAGAAACTTTGCGGTTGTGCAACTTTTGCTCACCTCAACCGCGGTCACCACAAGGGCTGTGGGCGCGAATGTCGACGAAGAGCGAGCTTGCTGGGAGCGCGCTCTTGTTGAGCGAATGGGGCGGGGGGGTAAAAAGGCATATTTTGGACTTGCTCTGTCAATGCAGGAATGTAGGTTTGCATGATGTAATGCTATGCAAATGCTCCAGCCAGAGGGAGCTGCTCCGTTAACCCTTTGCGGCGCCTGCCCTCCCCTCCGAAGATTTAACTTTCCTTCCTCCTTCCTTCCATTTTTTCTGAAAACAAAACTAATCGACTCCTCCTCCGTCGGTGTCCGCGTATCCCACCACTCTCTGGCCTTTCCCGACGGGCTGACCGTGAGGCCTGGTCGGGTTTTGGGTGCGGGGCTCCGGCTTAGGGCTTTGTTCTGCTCCGCGGGCCGGGCCGGGCCGGGCTCAGCCAGCCTCGCCCCCCCCGGCCGGAAGGGTTGTGTATGTGGGGGGGATAGTGTCTGTCCGAAGGTCTTCCCTGCCTGGGGGTGTGAATCAGATCACAAAACAAATCCCTAAATGTAACCCGTCTTATATTCAATCTTGCAAATGTTAGTGACAAATACCTAGAGAGGAAGGCGGGCCGCTGCTCTTACTCTGCGTCCGTTCAAACCTGCTGCACTTTTCATAACTGGTGGGCAAACAGGCTGTCTCACAGCCAAGTTTTTGGTTTTGTTTTTCGTACAGAATAACCTGACTTTTATTTGTCAGCTCAGGCTTGTTAGTAAAAAAAGCAAAAGTGAGTGCAATGGTGCAAAGTACAGAGGAAACCCTTAGCATGCTTAAACGATTGGGCAAAAGTCATCCCTCGTATAATGGATTTATGCCAAGGTGGAGTTTTGTTTCTTATGTTTGCCCTAATAAAATAATTTCTCAGGCCAGTTCAGAGGGTGGATAACTGACGTGCTACATGGAAAGAGCCTTAGGGAAAGTGGGGGTGACGGGATTGATTCCTTGTTGGTGAACAGAGCAGGGCGTTATGACTTACTAAGCACACAGACATTTACAATACATGGAGCTTCTCATTTCAGCCTGGCTTTTGTACTGACAGGTGAGGATGCAATGACAGGTGATACGGACAAATACCTCGGACCCCAGGATCTGAAGGAGTTGGGAGATGATTCATTGCCTGCTGAGGGATACATGGGCTTTAGCCTGGGAGCCCGCTCCGCCAGGTATTGTATTTGCTGTTTGTTGAGTTTGCATGTCACCACAGTTACAAGTTTTTTACAAACCAAGCGTGCTTTTTCAAGCAGAGCTGGAGTATATTTTGAAATGAAGTAGAGGGGGTGTGCTTCCGTGTTATGATAATACTGTGCCTTTAAAGCATATGTTCATTGCTGGTTTATTTCATATTCTTTATTCATGTTGGCTTCTTATGGCAATGACACTGAAAACAAATTATTCACTTTTTCTGGTATCTATCTGCCCATGCTCTGAACATCTCCAAGGCACTTCTTTGCTAGCAGTTTTGCAACTGGTCTAAAAACTAATCTAGAAAAGCCAGCAAAACCAGGTTTATTTTCACTACTGCAGGTCAGATTGATACACACATTACAGTGTTCCTTAATGGACTAATTCAGCTGGAGAATGTAAATACCAGGAAAACTGAATGACAATCATTTTGCTATTTTGATGCTTTTATTTCTTTAAAGGTGCTAGCGAGTTATCCAACTGAGATCGCCAATATTAAAGAAAAATATTCTCAAAAATAAAAAAGTAGGTCTACCCTAAATTTGTTGCAGGGTTTCATTTGACAGGGTACAGATTGCATGTTACAGGAAACAGGCCAAAGTTTCTGTGAACCTGATAAAATATTGTAAACTTAATATAATATCTGACTAATGTTGACTTCAGCTCAGGTGTTTCTAGATCGGTGCTTTAGATTTCATTTTTGAAACTTGCTAAAGCCTGCAATATGCGTTGCTCAAAATAACTAAAGCTGTATGAGCAGAGATTACTTCCATAGTTGTGGATTTGCAATGTACTTACTGACAGCTGAATTGTACTGAAGCTAATAATTAAACCTCATAAGCCAGAGCCCTGAGGACTTTTTCCTATGCTGTAGTTTAAATATCTGGTTTAAAAAGTGAGTTCATTGTCTAACAGCAAATGGCAGCTCCCAAAAGGTAAAGCTTAGATGTCTACCCTTCAGTCTGTTTGTTATGGTCACGCTAGAAATGCAAGTTCAGATTTGCTCTTTAGTAGTGACCAGTCATGTTTTGCTTCACTTACAATTTTTAGCTAAGTTAATAAGTGATATATGATAAAATATTAACGAGGAATGCCAAAATAGTCCATTAGCTAGAAAATCAGCAAAACAGATCTTAAGGAAGAGCCTTATGTCTTTGTAAACTTAATTAACAAAGCCGACATGCTGCTTTTAAGTAGAACTTGGTGTGAGCAAGGTCATCATGTAGCACTATCAGATGTGGTCAGTCCTGAAGCACTACAGCTATGGTGAAGAGGGAGTGCACTTTGTGTGTGGAGCTGGGCACTGATTTACAGGACACCTTTTACTCATTCCAGTACTCTTCCCACACATGTCTAACTTCTCCCTGTGCAGGTGGGAGAGCAGAATTTCATGGTCAAAGTCTGTTAGGTAGATTTCAGGGTTCAACCGCATGTTATCTTTTCTTTGAGAGAAATCTAATATTCCCATGCTTCTGATTTTAGCAGTGCCATTACTATTTGTTGCTGTGTAACTCATTTTTTACATTGCACATGTTATGCTCAGAGGAGACAAATACAATATTTTTCCTGTGAAGTATTTTATTTAGCAAAAAGTATTCTGTGGATGTATCTTACTACTGATTCTGAGTGTAACATTAAGAAATAAACACATGAAATATATAAGCCATCCAGCCATAACATCTTGCTTTTCCTGTCTGATTCTTTGCTTTCTATTTCTCCTGTTTCTTTTCCACTGTAAATTGCTTTAGTCCAAAAGTCAGGTAAGAAGGCATGGCATCGTGTTACATCTTTCTGCTGCTGCCATCGCTCATCTTCATTTTATTCAGCCTTGGAAAGTGACATGCTTTTATTTTTTGGTAGGGGTGTGGGCTTAGTCTTAGAGAATATCCTTCTGTTATAATAAATATAACTTGATTTCTTTATGCCCTTTATCATATAAAATTCTGCTTAACGTATGCCTACAGCGTGTAATTAAGATCCCACTTCTGCTTCTAGTCCAAGGAGGAACCTGTACTAAGGGACTAGAAAAGTTTGATTAGCAACTCCAAAATGCATGAAACAAGTAGTAGAGTTCTGAGTCTGAAAAGTGTTGCTAGCTCAAAGTGTAACATGTTGTTGGATGTTGCTTTTTATTAATTCATGTTTTTTACTACTTTGTTTTTTGTCACGTAGCAAGCATGTCTAGACCTGCAGCATGTTTTTAGCACATACCATAATGTATCTTCCAGGGTTAAGTGTAACACACTCCTACCTTGATTTAATTGCAACACATTCAGAGTGATCATAATTATTTCCAAATAGTCTAACATGCACAAAATAATCCCCAGAGCACTAGAATCTGTATTTAACGATCAATAAGCAAATATCTTTTCTTTCTTCTTTCATATCAAAATTATTATTCTTTTCTTTCTCATTAAATGAATAACTAGGGTGTTTATAACAAAGTCAAAAGTGGTTCAGCCACAAAGAGAACACCATAAAACTTGCTTACTCTTAAAACAGCTTCAGCAATCTGAGCCCTATGGGCACTCGCTGTGACCTACCCACAGCTCCCCCAGGACCTGCCCTCATGGGTCTCCTTTCAGGATTAGGCTGTGAAGACATTTATCAAAGTTCATCTAAATACTTGAATATACTTTTCTATATTTATTCTAAATCCACGGCATTACTGCCAAAGCATTAAACATCTTTTGTGATTTTGCTTATGTATATTGTTTGTAAGGAAGGGGATATTTAACTATAGTCAAATACTTATTATTCCATTTTTTTCCCTTGTATTTATTTCATAGATTATGTATATTTTGCCATCTTATGCTATCCCTGGAAGTTGCATGTATTAATTTTTTTATTTTTATTTTTTGTTCACCTCATTGTCACCTGCACTTTCTATGATATATGGTAAATACAACAGCCTCCGCTCCTTCAGTTCGGATAGGTCCTACACGCTGAACAGAAGTTCTTATGCCCGAGACAGCATGATGATTGAAGAACTGCTGGTACCAGCAAAGGATCAGGTATGTGCTCGTCTCTGCCACCAGGTATTCATGCTATATATTTATAGGGGATGACACTGAAGCCCTCAGCTGTGCTTGCAGAGACTATTGCTACCCTTTTAATTATTGCAAATGGAGAAGAGCTGAGAGAAAGAAATCATGGGTTTACCAGATTGTGGTTTTGATCCTGCAAGAGTCAGGATGATGGGGTCCCACACCAATACAGTCTTAGGGGACCAGTTACTTTTTTGATATGTCCATGAAGTCAATGGAAGCATCTGTGAGCTTAATGTTGTGTATCCTTAGAGTGCTTTGATAAGCTGGGAGCAATATGTTTTACACTAAACAACTTTTGTCTGTATTGTATAGCCCAGAGATTATGTTTGCCTGCTCTGTCACATGGAGGGGACTCCAACTGCTGTCCTTTTTTTGCCACCCTTGGGAAGAATTCGACCTTGTAAAGATTAAGCTATTATGCAGTAGCCAGTTTATGTATCTTCCAAACGTTTGTGCAATGACTAATACAACAAAAGCAGAATCTTTTGACCTGATTATGGCGTGGGAAAGTCTTTCCAAAAGCTAATGCTGGAGATGATGGGGCCCTATAGGCTTTGTTTATGTCCTCCTCAGCATTTTGCTTGGTAGACTTGCTTCAGATTTTCAAATCTAAATTAATTACTCAAGAGTTTCTTGATACACAGAAGCCAGAGATCTGCTAGGAAGTTGAATAAAAATTCACATAGAAATCTTTACTTGGGAATTAAAGGACTGTGGAGTGGAACTGTGTTTATTCCCTGGAAGAGCCTAAGGCGGACTGTAATGAAACAGAGGTTTTCGGCTGCCATTTTTACAGAGGTACCTCTCAGCAGTGGCAAGTATTCCTGCATGGGGGTTTGTTGATCTCAGAGGATGCTTTCGTGAAGGAAAGAGTCCACAGAGCAGGACTTATGAATTTTAAGCCTTGATTGTATTAGTCTGTAAATTCTAGTGTAGTATAAATTATCCAGTCCTAATACAGCTTTTGTACACAGCTTTGGTAGCATTATGGCATCGGCAGAAACTGGATTCTATCTTTAGCAACTGAATGTTTATTATTAGGTTGTTACTTTCAAGTGAAATGCTGTAACTCTCCAATAACCTTGATTTGCAGCAGCCAGCTAGGGAGAGTTTTTGAACATTGCATAGCAGTAATTTTGTTGCTTTTGTTGGTTTTGAAGTCAGAAAATAAAATCTGCAACTACTGGCACTGGAAACAAGAAATAGTATTTCAGGGCTGAGAACCTGAAGTTACTCTTGACGCTTCCTGCTCCTAAACCTTCATTAGGTATTTTTGATATGATGGAAATTTCAGAGGAGAGGAAGGTTCTTCAGTCTCAAAACATATTACAATGTACGTATGTTTCTGGCCATTTTTGTGATTACCGTCAAAGTAGATGGCATTGGTTTAGTAGCTAGGATACGTTTGACTTAAAAAGACTTAAAACCAGCACTATGCTGAATAACTCCTAAAGCACATTGTTCGAAGTGTGCATCCTTAACCTGTTTTGCATTGCAAAATTGCACTACTAAAATAAGAATTACCTATCTGTACATGGAGGTGTTGCAGTGACACCACACCATGTACAGGACCTCTGCTTTAGGGCAAACTTCATAATCTCTACAAGAGACCTCTCTGCTTTCTGGAGGTTCTCTTGCAGTCCTGGCTCTTGACCTGAAAAGGCAATAAATACAAAAACCTTCCAGTGCTGGTGCTGAGCAGTAGTGTACACTGTTTTTGTTGCACTTACAGTCTTCATGTTTTTGTGATTCCAGTTTTTGTCCAGCAATGATTGTGCAATTACTGCACTTCAGCGCTGGTCCAAATTTGTCATGTAAAATGAAGCCAGGCTGGAGGCCTGGCTGACAATCTAGTTGTAAATGTTATTCTGTCAGTACTATCTTGAGAGGTTAGCAAACCCATGATCCCCTGAAAAATAAATGACAGTAAAGCAACAAACTACCTTCATGAAAAAGGGAGCCCAGCAAAAATTTCCTGCTATGGGTTCTGCAGCCCTCAAACTCCTGACAAAAAATATATCCATCTTCTGGAATTCTTGTGTTCATCAGCCCAACCCTCTGGTGGTAAGCTTTACAGCCCTTTGGCTGAAGCAGGAGAAGTGCATTTAAGAAATGAGGAATACCCCTGCATCTCCTCATCCCTCCCTCTGCATGTTACTGGGCTTCTACATAATCTCTGCTACGGAAGTAGAAAGCAGGGTTAAAAAAAAAAACACCTTGCGTTCCAACAGTGGAATTCAAAGGAACAAAGATCATTGTGGGTCAAACCCAATATCCTTAAAGTCTATCTGGAAACTGATGTGAATTAAGGCTGGTTTGGGGTATCACAATACTTTGAAGGAGTGAGCCATTGCCTATCTGTATATTCCATATCTCTTCTTTCATAAAGGTCAGACCCGTCAATAGCAAAGTCTAAGAGTAAAGGGAATTAATTTTATCACAAGTATAAGTATATAAAAGACTAAGGAGTAATTGTCAACCTCTTGATCATGTAAAATAGAAGATCCTGTGGCCACCTCTCCCCAAGATCACTGTGAGACTTGGGAGTCTAAAAAGAGTCAGACGAGGAAGATTTGAAACCAGTCTTTACTGAACCTGACTGCCAGCATGACACATTAGGTATTAGAGAAGAGTTTCTAATAATTCCTTAAGAAGTCTCAATGTTCTCCATTGATTCGTTTGGTGGTTTATTGCTGATCCTGTTCAACAGGGAAGTCTGAGTCCAGGCTACATAACCTGGCTGGAGAAAAGTTAAAATTTATGTGTCCTGGTGTGTTACCATGGATGCAGCAACTCAGACCAAATTTGAACTACTTTCTCCATGGAATAATTTACATCAGCCTCTGAATTTCATCAGCCAAAGGCAGGATGAATCAGGCTGTCCATTACATAGCAGCCTGCTGAATCTCTCTGTCTGGATAAATTCATCTGGGAGGAAACATAAATTCTTCCGTTTGCTGAACTCTGATATTGCACAGCCTGTATATTCAGTTATGCAACCAGCAGGATCCTTGCCAGTAGAACCATCAGTGCTTTTATGCATGCAGTTGCATCTAACGATGCCACACCCGTGAGCAATGCATATTTAATCTCCCTCATTTCAGGGAAGGAACACTGGACCTAACAAAACACAGGATGAATCAATCCTGTGATTTGGAATCACTGATGATGTACTGTCTTCTGGATTGCTGATACTGCAGTTTACACAGGAAGATTTTTATTTTTTTTTTGCCTGCCTGGAAAATCCAGCATCTCAACAGACAGACAAAATGAGATTAACAAATGCATGCTGCATGTAAGATGTATGTGTCCCACTTTTAGCTTTGTCTACTCAGTTTCTCTGTCAAAATTATTGGCTGCAGGCTTTGTGCCTTTGCCAGCTGTAAATATGTCCAAAAGATCTGTGCACTTTGTCAGAAAGTAGTGCATCAAAAAATATAGTCACCTGATACACAGACAGTATCTCAGGACAAAGGAACAGACCAAAGTACCCTATGTATGTATGCAGGCAAACCTACAGCAACTTTGTAAGCATAGTAACATCTAACGTAAATTATTTTAGAGTGGTGGTATTTCCTTGGAAATTACATGGCCCTATGTTTATTTTTCTGTATCACACTGCTGAAGGAGTTTCAGCATTTTTCATCTGTTACAGCAAACATGGTGCATATGCCCTCATGCATGCCTGGACCTCAGTGTAGTGTCACTGGTATGGCTTGAATGACAAACACTAAAATGTGTTGTTCTTTTTCACCCGTTTGTTATGTTTCTTTGTTTTGTCCTATTTTTGACAATAGTGTTAATCACCAGGCAAAGGAATAAATTTAGTTTTGTTTATCAAATTTTTACAAGTTCTGAGACCAACTCTCTGGATCTTAGACTGTTTTGTGTCAAAAGTAATAATGTACTTAGTATGAGCTCTTACGAAATTAGGTATCACTTGGAATAGCAGAAATCCACAGCAATGACTTTCCTGCCTAAACTGCAGGCTCTTCAGGAAATCTAGGAGAATTCCCGGTGTTCTACTGAAATGAGTTAGAAAGCTGTCTTCATTGAGCTAAATTGTGATACATTTTCAAAAATGGTACTAATTAAACCCACTGCTGTTGCTTAATTGCCATTGCTTTAATGGCATTCATTTTATCTTTGATGTATTTTGGTGTTTAATATATGCAAGTTTGCCCATTATTATTGTTGTCTGTGCTTGAACCATCAGGCCTCAAGTACATATCTTACAGCAAAAAGTTTAATGAAAGATCCTAATGAAAGAGTGAAGATAACAAAAACAGGAGACATCGAGCCATGCCACATGGTTGGACAGATAACAGAGCAAAGTTGTACCCTTCAGATGTTGCTATCTACTGGCAGTAAATTGCAATGTCAATGTTTTTTGGAAGGAAACCTGTGATGCTCATTTGAAATAAAAGAATGTCTAAAGAGAGAAGTTTTTTGGAAACCCCAGAGTGATGGGAGGGTTCTAGGTTCTGATCAACAACAGAGCACTATGTAATTGCATACCCTGTGGAAGGTTTTCAACAGAAGTATTTTTATGTGTTTATGACTGCCTTTGCGAGATTTACTACTAATGCTGATATTTCCATTCAAAATACTTCATTTTCACTACCTCTGCACCAGTACATAAGAAAAAGAAAGGTGTAAATAATAAAACTTCCCTGTGTAGAAGTGTGTGCTTGGCTCAGGTTTGACTTGAACCCACTGAATTTGATTTGAAAACAGCCCTTGAGGTTTTAGTTTTAACAGACTGCTTTCTCTAGATTCATTTTCCTGTAAGAAGGAAACAACCTACTTACAGGGAACACTGACATCTTTAATACCATCTTGGGTGAAGATAGTCTGTGTGTATTGCATGATAGCTTCTTGACTTAGTTTTATTGATGTAACTTCTGCCAGCGCTTCTTAAATTGTTTAAAAACTTTCACATAATCCTGGAAATACAGGCATACAGTACTTGAAGATTTCATTTGTTTAATTTCCTAGGGAAAAAAAAAAAGAAACAAATAATAAGGAGTATTTTACTAGTATGGCTTTGCTACACAGATAAGAGGATTTACAGTGTGAGACTTGTTGCAGGGCACAGGACGCATGAGTGTGCATGTGCGTGTCCATAGGCAGCGGCAAGAAACAAATTATTCCCCAATGTCTTTCAGATGGGACAGTTAATTATAGCACCAGTGTGCCAGTGCTTCACAGGGTTAAAGCTATTTTTATAGAGATGAGTAGGGACAGCGGCACTCCAGAAAACAGTGTTCATGTTGGTTGTTGTGTATAAATACCAACTAAACCCTCCTCCCAGCAGGAGCTTGGCCATACATTCACCACTTCAATTACACTTTCAGTGAAGTTATTCGCAGCTTCTTCCCCCTGTTATCAGGGGAGGTATGATATTATATTGCCTGCCTATATGATGTATGATTGCAGTACAAAGGTAATATTTCTCTGTTTTCAATGTTCCTAACCTTGCACATGCAAGATTAGAGAGACATAGCTGTAACTAAAGGAAGTGGGAAAAATAGGCAAAAAGAATGGTTGAAGACATGTAAGGTTAATTTGTTTGTAGATTTCATGTCTCTGTTACAGAATTTCCAGTAATTTAACACCTGAGATATCAGCACAGTTACGACGAAAGGAGGCAGATCTAAATTCAATGCAGTTGTATTAAGAAGCTTGTATTTAAGACAAGTGTTTTCCATGTTAATTTTAAATTTCAATTTATCTTTTTATTATGTTTTTAAGCACCTGACGTTTCAAAGGGAGTTTGATTCTGATTCTCTCAGACACTACAGCTGGGCTGCAGACACCTTGGACAATGTTAACCTTGTTTCAAGTCCCATCCATTCTGGGTAGGTCACTTAACAGATTTCCTTTATCTTTAAATGTGGAAATGTATTGTTAGCAGAAGAATACAGCCTGCTGTAATGGCTGGTAAAACGCGC